AAACTGTTAATTTACCAACACTCTTCTAAATCTAAATATCAAATTAAACCTTTTGCTTACTACCCATAAATATTGCTACGCTTATCACTTATAAGCATCTTAAAAAACTGATTATAACATTATGTATGAATTAACAATACAGATACACATGAATTAAAAAACTAGGTCCAATGTAGGCAAAACTTTATTTTGTTTCAACTACGTCATGTATATAATATTATATATAAAAAAAGTGCTAATCTTTACATCATGGCTCAATCTAGAAATTTAGGTATCATATAATATTAAGCTAACTTGACACGATATCAGGTAATAAGTATAAAGATTTTTTACGATTCTTTATTAATATACTATACATATAAGCAATAAAAAATAAATACAAAGTTCAGGATATAGCCCATAATACATGATATCTATCTAACATATAAGGGTGAGCGAAACCTATTCTTTAATAAAATTTTCTGTTTTTATTCTCTTACTAGCAGGAGATTCATCAACTTCTACCCTATCTTTTAACAAGCCAATGATTACTTCTATAACCTTTTTAACATCTCAGCAAATACACCATCTTTTATAATATCCTTAGTAAAGGTAATGTAATAATCAGCTTTTGTGTAATAAATCCTCTCTAACATATACATGATAAAATGTCAATCTGTAGAATATAGATGAGAGTTAGTAACATCTTACATTACGCAATCGTGGCTAAAAAAATCACCTGTTATAACGATCCTATAGAGGTAATTGAAGTTATTCTCAAAAGCTTTAGACACCTTTTATTTTCTCTTATTCGTATAGTAGAACTTTTGAGTTGCATCACATTCTGTATAATACTCAAGACCTCCTAGTCTTCCCTTCAGTGATGAAAATAAATCTAATTGCATAATTGACTTATCCTATTGCTTCTTCGCTAACCTCAAACTGTCTTTAGGGAGATTCCCTTCTTGTGATAATGTAAATAGCAGGAAGCGATACCAAAATTCTATAGAAAACTTTGTGTAATACTTTCCTTAATAAGCTTCTTTTCTGATGAGATTCATTCAAATAGCTATGTGTTGTCTAATAAAATGATAAATTATTAGCTATTAATCCTATTATTATTTCACAAAAATTTCTTTTATGAAGTAGTACATTATCTCTACTACTTACGTAATGAGCTCTTGTAAGATTGATAAATTTTCATTGCACTGCTTCCCACTGAAGTTTGAATATTTTTGATTAATATTCCTAGTGATCTCTCCAAATTCTTTCTTTTACCTTTTTACATGACTATAGTATTTAGCATTTCATTCTTTACGCTTATTAATAAAGAAGTGATCCTGTGAATCAGTCTACTAGATAGTTAACATATTTTTTATGTAAAAAATATTCGTAAAAAAAAATAGATGAAATAATAATGGTGGCTTGATTGCTACCAAAATTTGATTAGCAGATCATTTTATGATCAAATATTTTGCATAACATTAATTTTCTATCGCATGTAAAGCATAAAATACAGATTGAAATTATTTAATTATTATAAGAAAATAAGCTATATTACATAATTTTTTTTACTATATAAATTTAATTTTATCTATGGAGGAAATGAATTCTCATAATCATTATTAAAATGACTAATAAATTGGTCCACTTGTTGCTATTCAGCTAATCTAACATAATCTCTTAACAATCTTAATCTATTGCGAATATCCATATTGAATAATTCTTGTTCAGATAAATTATCGATAATTTCTGACATTCTATCTTCATTTATTTCAATACGTTTGAAAATTTTTATTTTCTTAAGAAGAGAAGGTACAGAAACTGTTGTGTGAGTAATCAACTTTTCTAATTAACCATTAAGTTTATTGGTTTCTTCAAGCACGATTTGTTTAATTACTGCTAAGATCACATCACAGTTATTGATTTTACAAATTGCCATTGTTTATTCATCGTCTACTATCAGAAAGAGAAATAAGATCCAATTGTCACTGATATCAGTAAGAACAGTCATTGAATGTGTTGGATGAAGTTTATCAATCAAAAATAATTCTCCCATGGCTTGGCTTTTTTTGAAATCTATAAACTTTATTTTTGTTTTAATCCAAATGACAGGCGTTGCATTTAGGCCAATGGAAATATCATAACCACATTTTATAATAGTATTTGCTCCTTCCAAATGTATTTGATTTTTTGTTTGTGAATGAACATCTTTCACTTGACAACCTCTTGGTAATTTTAATGCTTCTTTAAACTATTTAACAATTCTGTTCATTTGTGATGGTTTATCTTTATTTTTGTTCCATTTGAATGAAAAGCACAATATAGATTCAAGTAGAGTTCTGGACGAGTCGAGTCAACTCACGAGTCAGATAAGCTGAGTCGAGTTTAAATCGAGTCGAGTTTATGTTTTTTTTGACTCGATGATTTGCGAGTCAAGTCAAATTCAAGTCGAG